GCTTCTCCGGGAGCGGGGGCAGAGCACCGCAGGCTCCCTTGTCTCTCCCTAGATGGTCCGCGCCCGCGAGCCCCTCCCGCCCCGCCGCTCGAGGGCCCGGAGCGAGCTCCTCCTGCCCCTCGCGCCCTGCGAGCCGCCCGGCTTCACCCCCCAAGCCCGCCGCCAGCTGGCCCCGGAGCTGCCCGCCCGCACGGAGATGAAGGCCAAGGTGCGCCAGCGAACGGCCTCCCCGTGCAGGGACGAGGCCCCGCACTCCTGGGGCTTCCACACCTGGCTGGACGCGGGGCGCCTGCCCGCCGCCTTCCGCTCCAGGCCGGACAGGCCCTACGACAGCAGCGTCTGGCGCTGGCTGACGGACGCCAGGGCCCACGGCCGCCCCCCAGCGGAGGCCCCCGTGCCCCCTCCCTCCTGGATGGGCCAGAACAGCTTTCTGACCTTCATCGGCTCCACCCCTATTTTCCTGGACCCAAACAGGAAGACCCAGGTGATGCTCAGGACGGTGAAGGAGCTGAGGGAGGTGGAGAAACTCAAGCTAAGGAGTGAGGCAAGGGCGCCTCCCCTCGATGCCAATGGCAACATCCTGCCCCCAAAGACCTTCCAGAAGTAAGAGGAGCTCCTTTCTCGGGGAGCCCTCCCCACCCTCCCACCCAGGCACCCCTCACTCTCTCTGATTGCTTTTTCTGATGTCCAGCTGGCCCTCTAACCTGCCCTCCTCTGGTCATTTGAAAACTAAACTCTGTCTGGATGGAGATGAGAGAAGGCATGGAGGCCAGGGAAGGACCTCCAGGGGGAAAGGGCTTGATTTTTTAGCTAAAATCTAGGGGATACAACTGTGTACTTAAAACACCTGCTAGGCTCCGGGGATACAGAGAAATGTATTCAGTCCTTGCCCGCCAGGAGCTGGCAAAAGGCAGACACCTAGACACGCGTGAAAAGACAGCTACCAACACAAGCCCACGTGTGCTCAGTGCCCAGAGTGTGGGACGGACAGTGGGTGTCGTAAGGATGTCAGTTATTGACAGAAGGAGCCGAGAGCTGGAGGCAGGGGCTTGGATTAAAGTCCAGGCTGTGTCCCTTTGACCAATTGCTTAGTTTTTCAGACTCAGTTCCATGCTTGATAGAAGGGGGAGGGGAAATGCCATGCCTGCCTTAGTGGGTGAAGGTAAAGCAGGGGGAATGGACCCATGAAATCCCTGCACAAGAAGCAGACATTATCACAGAATTTCAGAAGAGGGAGGGGTAGGCATAGGCTGGAGCTTCCCCCCGGAGGCCATCGGGAAGAGATCACATGAAGGCTGGGAGGGAGGGAAGGCTTCAGAAAGGCCGACAGGAGAGGCTGGAGGACTGGCCAGTGTGAGCAGAAGCAGGAGCGTGAAGGAGGCTGTTTGAGATGAGGCATCTGAAACACAGAGAGGTCAAGTATCTTGCCCAAGTTTGCACAGCCAGTAAGTGGCAGGGCTGGGATTCGAACACAGGGAGCACAGCTCCAGGCCTGCATTCTTGACCACCATGCTCCCTGTCCCCTCCTGTCCGACTAGGGAATCAGACAAGTGCACAGCCACTGCTAATATAAAGGCAGGAGGAGAGAAACACAGTCACCATCCACAAAAAGAGCTTGGCAGCCTGCTTGGCGCACAGTCAGTATGTGATGGTGGAGGCAGCCTGGCCCTGGAGTTGAGCAGATCTCGGTGGGGATCTGCACCAGCTCCCACGTGCTGCACGACCTCAGCCTCAGATCCCTTGGGCCTCACTCTCCTCAGGTGTGTCTTGGAGATGCACCTGGTACCCTGCAAGGTTGTCGGGAGACCAAAGGCACGGTGCCTACAAGGAGAAGGGGCTCAGTATATCGTCCCTGTGAGAGAAGGACCCTGTCTCCCTGGTTGCAGCTGCAGCCCCGCCTGGGAGTGGAGAGGAAGGAATGAGTCTCAGACATGGTTCTGCTGTGGACGGAGGAGGCAGGCTTTGAGCTGGCCCTTGAAGGGTGTGTAAAGTTAATCAGGTGGGAGCAAGGAAGAGTGCAAGAAGAGGCCCACCCGGTCCCGCTGCCCCTTCAGAGCAGCTCTAAGGGCTTAGAATAAACCCACCCCCCATCAGTGAGATGCACGTTCTGAGCAAGAGACCCGGAGGACCAGACGAGGCTGAGGCTTCAAGATGCTTATGGTCCTACGGGGAAATAGAAGCTGTATGAGCAAACCCCGCCGCTCCCCACTCTGGGGGGACATTAGAATCACCCGGGCCTCTTTATAAAAATGTTGACATTTGAGCTCCACCCGGGAGAGTCTGACTTACCTGGCCTGGTGGGCAGCCGGGCACTGGTGTTTGTAAAAAGCCCCTCTGGATGATTCTAAAGTGCAGCCACGCCTGAGAACCTCTGATGGAAACCAAAGTCAGCACCTGGAGTGGAGATGTGCTGAGCCAGGGCAAAGCCACTGAATCACAGAGAATTTGCCACTGTTCAGCTCTGTTCTGTAAAAAGCGAACGTCCCACTGTTAAACTAAATACTGATGGTCTGCAGAAAGGGGAACTGTCAACCAGTCAGAAGGCAGCAGTTCAGAGCGGGAAGAGGTCTGGGTTCATTGCGTTCACCGTGGGGAGAAGGAGCGCTGTGTTGGTGGAGGAGGTGGGGCTTGGGGGGCAGCTAGAATCTGGGGGATTCCCTTACAGACCACATGTCCAAAGGACGGAAGATTGACCAGCCAAACAACAGTCTCACCAGCCTAACACCAAGACACACCCACAGGGTGCAGGCTGTGGGGCATGGGTCAGTTTCCAGGCAGGGGGAGAGCTGGGGGTCCCCACAGCCTGATGGCTCACAGCTGCTGGAAGGCAGCATCTCCTCCCCTTCCCTCCCTCAACACCCAGGTCTCTCCTTTGACCTCTCCATCCTCTCCATCCCTCACCCCCTACAGATACCGGCACATCTCAGCTGGAGGAAGTTGTGAGCCCCGGGGCCTCCAGCTCATACCCAACCCACTCCCCAGTGACCTTGCCAGGAGCTGGCCCTGCCCCAACCTGCTGCCTCATTACCAGGAGAAGGCGCTCACGCTGGCCTTGCTGCCCAGTGTGCCTCTGAGCCGGGACCTAGTGAGGAGTTACCAAATCCTGCTCCAGGACCAGGTGGCCTTGCCCCTCCGCCATCTCTCCAGGGCCCAGCTTGGCAGGACCTGCACAGGAAAGAGGAGACCTGGGCACGTCTAGGAGAGCCTCCAGGCGATGGAGGGCTGCGGCGGGCACGACCCCTGGGCTCCAGTGTTCTCCCCGATGCAACTCCAGCAGGAAGCCTCTGCGGGCTGCAGGACTCTGCCTTCTGGGGAACAGAGCCTGTCCACCATGCCCCCAACTTCATGTGTACCCCAGGCTCCCAGAGACGCTGCTGAAAGCCTCAGTTGTTCTGTCTTCCTTGGAGGACCCTCTCATGGCAGGCGGGAGGACCGAGAGTGGTGGGTGCAGCAGGGAGGGCATGGGGATCCAGCTCCCAGGGACAGATGAGGCATGGGGAGGGAGAAGGGGTGCAGGGTGGGGGTAGGGGAGGCGCTGGAAGAAACGTGATCAAGACAAAGTCACCTCTGCTCTTGTAACCCATTTGGAGCAAGACTGAGATTGCTCAAAATACAGGAAGATTTTTAGGCAAAAATAACCTCTATTCCACCCCTCTCTGGGCCATTTGATGTCCAGACAAAGACCAGAAGCAACCCCAATGGGGTTTGGGGGAGCAGAGGTCAGGCCCAGGCTGGGCTAGAGGATGGGGCATCAGGTCTGAGAGAGGCCACTAGGCCTCGGTGGAGGGGACAGGAGAACAAAGTGGGACTCAAGGTAAAAGTCACAGCATCATCTTGGGGCATGGGCCCTGTGCGACTGATGACCCCAGAGGCCTCAGCCTTGGTGGCAGAGGGACCAGAGACACGTGGCCTCAGGTGGAGGCAGGCAAGCCTCAGGGGTCAGAAGGGTGCTGTCCAGCTGGGGTGGAGAGTCCGGGGGAGGGGCAGTGGGGCATGTCCAAAGAGGGAGCAGTGGCCAGGGCCCGCCTCCCCTCCCCCGCCCCATCACAGCCACTGCTGGGCTTCTCCTGGCCTTGGCCCATTGCCTTCTTTGCCCGCTTTCTCAAGCCCTGCAAGAATCACCTGGGACTCACCACCACCAGGTTCCAGTCCTGCTTTAACTGCGAATTAGTTGTGCCCCATGGGAAGGTCGTCCTTCCCTGTCCTCATCTGCACCGTGGGAGCCACTGGGGCATAAAGAAGAGGAGTAAATGAAAGAAGCAAGTGAAGTAGCTGCAAAGTGCCCGGCCCAGGGTAGGCCCGCCCTAAACACAGCTGTCCATCTTCACCCACGGGAAAAAGGAATACACTTCTAGTGGAAGACACGGGACACAAAAAGCTGCGAATCGTGTGATCCGTTCCTGTGACTCATCCAGAGCAGGCGAATCCGTGGAGACAGAAGGTGAACTGGTGAGTCGGTGGTGGCCAGGTGCTGGGGGCGTCGTCGGCACTGGCTGCCTCACGGCACTGGGTTTTCTCTTGCGGTAATGCGAATAGTCTAGAACTAGACAGACCTGGTGGTCGCACAACAAAACACCACTGGATTGTACGCTTTACTGGTGGTCAGTTTCATGTGAATTACATCTCAATTAAAAATAGAGTAAATAGGGTATGTATAGAGAGTTTCCAAAGTTCCTTCTAGTCCTGAATCTACAATTCTGTGCTACGGTCCTTCTCCCCACGGCTTGGGGGCCGGTGTGGAGGCCCGGAGCGGAGGGGTGCAGGAGAGTCTCCTGAAAGCTCCGGCTGGGGGTGACGCTGGAACACGCCCATTCTCCCCATGCAGGGTTGGGGATGACAGTGGGAAGGAGGGGGTCCTTTCCTCGGGTCCCAGCGGGGCAGAGCGCGGCAGGCCGCTGGGAAGCCAGTGTTTGAATGATGACTGAGCCCCCTGGAGTGGTGATCTGCTCCAGGCCACGGAGCCAGGCCGTCCCTGCCATCCTGGTGCAGCCAGGACTCCAGGGCATGTGCTGTCATCCCGCCCATCATGCCTGGGTCTCATCACGAGCGCCAAGAGAAAAGCCCAGGGGGATACTCAGAGGGTTAATAGGAAGTTTGGGGTTGGGCGGTGGGAGGGAGGAGGTCATTGGAATCTTCAGAGAAATCCTCCCACTCTCTGGCCTGGATCTGGGAGGGCAGAGAAGCAAGCACAGACGCCCGCCTTGCCCACCCGGGCCAGCCTCCCGGATCCCAGCACAGAGGCTTGAGCGTTGCTTCTGGGTCCTCCCCTCCCCTCCTCAACCTCCCTCTACCTCAGCAGGCTCGGTCTCACCCGTCGGTGGCTGAGGCCAGGTTAGATTCCTGAGCGGCTGGGGCCTGAGGAAGGGCAGGGGCTGGTGAGGCTGGAAGCCGGGGTCTGGGAGCCCCTAGGGGAGGTGCAGGGCCAGCCAGTCATGCATCTCATCTGGCTGTCGGCAGGGTGGTCCCCTCTAATTACCGGGCCTTATCACTGCTCCCTGAGTCAGAGCCACGATCCTCTGCCCAGGTCCCTCCCTGGGGCCCAGGCTGCCCGGACTCACCTCTGCCCTCCCCGGGGCCCGCTGGCCTCTGGTTTTCACTCCCTGCTGACCCGCTTGCTCAAGCCCTTGGCCTTCCTGCTTCTCTCCCACCTCCGAGCCTCCCCTGGTCGCACCGTCCCCTGAGCCACGTACACCTCCTCACCCGACAGAAATAGCTGCCGTTGCCCGTTGCCCATTATGTGTAGTGATTTCTGCAGCTGTTCCCAGAGCTGCCCAGCTCATGTTCATCTCAAGCTGGCACACTCGCTGCAGGTCCTGGGGCAGGGCCTCCCAAAGGCCCGCCTGGAAGACGAATCTGCTGCCTCCTGGCACTGCTCACATTCCAGGTGGGAGCTCTGAAGTGTGGCTTCCCTAAGCCCAGTACGGCTTCCACTGGGCGGCCACTGACCACTGACCCTAGTCAGCACCACAGGCTTCCCGGACAACAGTCGGTCGG